ATTGTAATTTATTACATGATGACAGCTCAGTCACATGACAAGCTATCGACAAACTATTTGAACGTGAAACAATTCACAATGACCGGACGTAACGGATGGACTCCAGAATACACTATTTGTTCCAAATACCGAGTGAGAGTCGTTACAAAAATTTTTTATTGCCAAACCATTGACACGTTTACTCTTAATTACTATTAGACTTTAACTATGGTGATAATGGTTGGTCGCAGCTTATAAACATCTTTCAAACTAATTACACGTGTTTTTTTACCGGTAACAGGTCATTGTTCCTTTAATGTTGCTGTTACAGATGATAATTGGTTGTTAAGTAATTCGGAAAAAAATACTTAAATTGTAGCAACTAACAGCATTGAGTTGGTTAATTTCCCCTTCTTGAAATAATTCTAAAATATCTAATACTATGTAGGTATGTTTGTGTGTTAATATGTGTATATGTACGTGTGTATTTATATGTATGTACTAATTCAAAATTAAGATAATATTTTTCAATATCTCATCTGGCTCTTTCGCAACTACTTATTCTCTCTGTTTATTTGTCGATTGACTGGTAGAGAAAACCTAATGGTGTTAAGTCCGCCATTGTACGTTATTGTGCATAAACTTTTTAAATAAATAAATAAATTGGTTCATGAAAAATATCGTCAGAATCTTGCAATCGAATAATTTTAAGTTAAATTAAAAATTGATATGTAGTTAAATTTAACGGTTAAACTGTATTTTTTTTTGTCTTTAAAATTTTATACGGAGGTAGGGCCACCTAGCAGCCTCGGCTGTTGGACGAATGGGCAAGCCCATCCGGGTAAGTACCACGACCTCACAGAAGACCAGCGTAAAGTGGAAGTATGACAAATACTTTCGTGTTTCGTCTGGTGAGTGAGGTGGTCGCAGCCCAAAGTTCAAAATATTGTCTACGCATCTGTAACCCTCCGTTCATAAAAAAAATCTAATATTTTTTTTTTATCAAGTTGAACCTTAAAAGTCTCAAGTTCGTTTAAACAAAGACTAATCTATTTGATCGCATTGTTTGTGTGGGTAAGACCTAGTTAATATGTTTAAGCGGCAATAATTGCATCGTAAGTTTAAGGAACTGCAGTTTTTTGAACCGCTCACATCATTGCTTTTAGATATAAATTTTAATTGATGACATATTTTAAATGCCTCGTAAGCCATACATTTTTTGAAATAATTCTTTTATTAACCAAAGTAATTTTGTAGCGAAGGACTAAGACGTTTATTGCTCTGTCTACGATTTGTTTTAGCCGAAATGATAATTGTGTTGCCTATATTTATCTTTTTTCCCTTATGCCTTATTTAAGATGTGTCATATAAATTTATCAAAGAGATAAACGGAAAAAGTCGTGTTTACTTTTTTATTTTCAAGGTAATCAATGGCGTCCTTTATTTTATTAAGGAAAAATCTTTGGAAACATATTTCACTTTGTTTTTATTTCAATGTCGTATGCTTATTAAAGGGAATCGGATAAGAGAAATCCACCTCTTATATTATCTTACTAACATTAAGGTATATTTGAATACACACGACTGATAAACCTATCAGTCATGTGTTGTGTTCGGGATTAACTTTCCTTACATCTCGTCTTTACGCAGCCTGGAAGCGTACCAAATGATGTTAATATGCCGGAACCACCGTGGGTTCTTCATGATATCGCTATATATACACAGTGCAAGCAAACAAAACCAACCATTTTAACTATGAGGACGGTAAATCTAACACAACTAACGTAAGGTACGTTCGATTTTCAAGGTGTTTGTCACGACCATTCGGCCTGCACAGCACTGCTATAGCCTTATCGAGACAATTCTTCCCTCATCGTAGTGATTACATGCGCAAAAGCACATACTTGACCATCACCAAAGTGGAGTCGAATAAAGCTCTTTGAATCTGGCTATTCTACAAGCTCTGCGCTTAAATAAACTTTAATGTTCTACGGAATTGAATCGAGAACATTATTTAAAAATGTACAGTTACAGAACACAAGAGATATTTGAGCTTGTCATGTGCGTCATTCTCAACACCTGGTCATAGAAAGGTGCATAGCTAGCTCTATCTACCCAATTCGAGATAAAAGATGTCAGATGCAAATTGTTATTGCATTGAAAAGTATACGTCATTATTTACCTCATTTATTTAAGGTTGGCAATAAAGATTTTAAAAAATTAAACCGTTGTTAATTACTCAAACATCGGTCATGGAATCTGCCACGTGTTCGTATACATTTGTTACGATTAAAAAATACTACAAGCGATATAACTAACGTTAATTAAGTAATTAAAAGTCCGTTCATGAAAAAGGTTTATTGTTCAAAGTGGTATATATTTAATGATATACCTATTTGTTTTTGATGAATTATAGTTTAAAACGGTGACCCGGTGGCACAGTTACTAAGCTATTGAATTCGGCGCCGAAGGTCGTGGGTTTGGTTCCCACACGGAATCGAGACAAGGGATGCACTTCAAGGATAATGGAGTTTAACCATCCTTTTGGCAACTCAAATGACATTTGAAAAGCTATTTGACAGCTTATTAGTTAACTTCTACAATGGTCAGTGGTTCAGAAACCGGGCGTGAATATTAAAATCGGATAAAATTTCGATGAAGACGAATATCCGTATTTATAAGTTTTCAACATTTTTCTCTACTCTTCTTACTGGATTCACTCTTGGCAGAGCGGTCGTGGCCTGTCATCTAGTGTTGGGGGCAGGCAGATGTTATTCGCCACATGACGTTCCGCCACGTCACGTACACTCACTTATGGGGCCACCCATTACGTTCTTGATCTCAGCCAGCCGTTCGAACAGTCCCGCATTACCACGTGACACGTGGACCAAGAATCACGCGGTTCTGTACGATTGCTTATAGACGAACCTCGATCCTGAGTTCTTCAAGTACACTCGTTATTTGTAAATCTAAGAGCATACATTGTGCCTAATATGCAAAATAGTTCGGGTCCTATAATAAAGGCAGAAGAAAAACTAATACTCAATTTTTTTTATTATCATAAACATTAAACCCCGCCAATAGCTACTAAATACAAAAAATCGGCTCACAAACGGATGAGACAAGGGCTTTCATTGATTTATTTTGTTATCGTTCCCGTTTAAAGGAGAAAAGAATATTTTTTTAAACAAGTTCATAATCATTTCAAGGTGAAATATGTTTAAGTCATTGTAGATTTATAGGAAAGTAGGTTTTCTATTTGACGAAAGTGTAGAAACAGACGAATAAAAATCCAGTATGGCTTTATCACATTTATTGCAAAACGGTGCATACATATACATTATACCTATGTAAGGTGGTTTATCGAGAGCTTATGAATCATTTAGCCATTCTATTCATTATAATAAAAATGAATGAATTTCTTAAGTTTAAGGTTATTAATTACAATTAAATTGTCAATTATATACACGTCTCATCCCATAAAATTTATAGACAATTTTCCACACAATGTAACTTTTTTGAAGATTAAAACTAAATACAAAATGACGATATTCTTATAATTATGTCCCTTCATTACCGTTTTACATAATATACAATACACTATTAATGGAATATCTAGCAGGTTTGTAGCTTAAAGGTCAGTAATAATGTATACGCTATGCACTCAATTCCGATTTACAAAAGAAGCCAAATAAAGGCACATTCGTTTGAATAATTATTAAATTTGTTCCAAACAAACTTTAAAATAAACTAATGATTAATCGTTGACTGTATACCGGCATACTGTAAAAGGTATACCTGCCAGTAAAAGGTTTAAAATTAAATAACCAAAAAACCTAATAGTTTTAATTTTTTGTATAATTTAAAACTATAGTTTTAATTGTAATTGCATAAACACTGGCTCTTGCTTACGTTTTGTATAATTGAAGGATTTGAAATTTATAAAAGTTTGAAATACGTCCCATTATAAAATTCTGAAAAGAAATTTAGAGTTGTATAAAATACATTTTTATATGGGAATTTGTGACGACACGAAATATATTTTGTCTTACACTAAGGAAATCATGCACCACACTTATATCTATTATGACTATCTCCAAACGACTGTAACCTAACCTGTAATCCAATCAAGCAAGTGTACAAGCAGATTATAGAGTGTAACTTGTCATAATGACGCTCTAATGCGATTCCGATACTCTTGGATATTCTTTTAAATACATATATAAATATCTAAAGACATTTCCTACTTGCAAGACTGCCTGGAATACCAACCTTTTCGCAGTGCAAGACCTAGATGCACTTTATGTACTAATACCTGTAAGTGATGTCAGATTCAAAGGCAAAATCAGGATCTGGATAAAAAGGGCTTAAAGAGCGAAAACATATCGAGAAGAATTTTAATTTTACACTCTTTAAGATGCCAATATTTTTATAAAAAGTGGCAATGTGCCTTAAAGGATGATGATTAAAGTAGCTTGATTAATTTAGTTTTGCCTGCGACAAATAGAATAGATCTAATAATCAATTTTAATTCAAGAACATGTATTCCATAAACAGATTTGCTTTCTTGTGAAAGCAATAAAATTTTTATAACAGTGTTGTAGATTTTCTCAAAGACACAAACAAATTTACAGTAAAAAATAGCTTATAGTAAAATTTTTGCAAAGTATTAAGTATAAAACTTATCACATATGCTAAGAATGCTAAGTGTAATAATATAAAATCTAAACGGAAACAGCAGATGATAAGAGTTGTGAAAATTATGGAACTAAGTAAAAAAATAATCGTTGGAGTGAAGGAGTTACAGTATCTAAGCCTAGATTTCACTAAAATACATAGAAATGACATTGACATAAATTTTTATAAGGAGATCTATCCAAATATATTTGATTTATTAATTTATATAATATAAAAGTATAAATAACTATTTATTATATTAAATATGAAAAATAACACGATGGAATGCAAGACAACAGATAAAGGTCGTAATTTGCAGATAAGTTTAATCAGCTGGGAGTTCAATAAACAGTAGAGTTAAAATGAGCGGCACGACGTAAAACGTGTGGTTGCAAATTGATGTAGGCTCCATCAACCACACGCACAATTCTGATGTTAATCTGGAAAAAAAAATCAAAGTTACGCTGTAGCTTGACATCACCGCTTTTTTATCGTGTTAAAAATAAAACATCAATCAATAAATGAAAAGAAGTTTAAACATAACAGTTGTGTAAAAAATTCCTTTTAATTAAGGCTTTCCTTATAAAAAAATTTTTTTTAGGAATTAAAAGAATTATTTTATTAACTGCGCCATTGACACTTTTTAAAAATAAATCAAAATATGATACGTAAATGCCTTCGACGTAACTCCAATGCGTAAAAAATATGTTGTATTTAAGCGATTATACATTATAGATGATACTAATTTTACGCGTTTCTTTTTAAATTTTATTGTTGTTTTTATTTCCCGAAACGTCAGGAATTAAATTAAAAATTAACGCCATAAATCCGTAAAATTAGTTTCGTTTGTAAAGAAATATGTTGAATTAAATTTAACTCTTTAATTTACCCGTATTGAATTACCTGAATTCAATTTAACCGAATTGAATTAGTGAATTATTGAATTTAACTATCCAAGACAAACACAAAACCGGGATTGAGTGAAATAAGTTTATATCATATGGGTTTTTAAGCGGAATACTATTTGCGTAAAATAGGGAGTATTTAACATCGGAGTTCCCGAAGCGGTGTTAGTGATAAGGGGGAACTCTAACTGATACACTATAAACGTTGCAAATAATTAAAGTTATTTTAATGTAATCTGTATTTTATGAGATGTGTATTTTAAAAGCGGGTGCGTTTAACGAAAACATGTTTTCAAACTTTCGCTTTAGTCAAGTAAGCGTTATGCTTAAAGTAAACAACTGTTATAAAAATGTTTAAATTAAGAAAACGCCACAAAGGCCATACCTCGTGCTTGGAAATAGTGCGAAGGAAGTATTTCTGGAAGCGAGTAGAGAGAGCCCACACGGCGCCGTTGTCACGCTCTGCCCACCGAACCTCTGCGCAAAACTGCAGCTTCTCGGCGTCCTGTGCCAGCAGTCTGAAAGAACAAAACAGGTTCACAGCTATTGAGCAGTAATCTATGCGTGATTAAACTAAAATAGTCGAACTGCCAATAACTCCAGACGTCAGCTGTTACTATAGCATGGGCGCTACCATAGGCACTTATATATTATGCGTTAGTTCTGTTGATCAGAAACGGCAGCTATTCTTGGCATAAAGGGATCTCTCACTTATTCACTAATTACTCTTGCCTGACAGTGAGACATATACGATGTTACCGTTAGCTACTAACCTATGATTATTGGTGATGGGGTTCCACGCGACAATTGCGGTCTCCGTCATTGGGCTGAATATGATGGTGTCATCGCGGGGGTCCACCGCAACGCCCAGGCCCTGGGATGACTTCCGGCCAACTAGGTTCACGGGTAAGTCGGCCCCCTCTGCGGGGGGGCCGGAAGCGAGCACGGCCGTTGACACGCTGAACAATCTGAAGATGTGAAAGAAGAACAACTGTCAATTTGACACGATGAATCGATAACACCGAAAGTACAATTAAGACCCATTCTTGCGATTGTATTTAAAAAGAAGATAAACATTAGTAACTATTAAGAAATTTATAAGTTACGCTTACCGAGCAACTGGTTCTCACGTCAATAAGCGTATATATTGTCCGAAATGATAATAATTCTGAATATTAAAGTCCCTAATTGAAAGATAAACATAAGTCAGAGTTAAGTAAGATAAGTTTTAATTAGTGTGAAGCCATTCATTGCATCATAATAAAAGGGAACAACAAAGGTTTAAGAGGCAATTAAATTGTGAACTCGCTAAAATTAGCAAGGGAATTTAAAAAATTACGTTGGCAACTAAATTTATTTGCTAACCAGCCTCAATGTCAAATTATGTACAACTATAGTTAAGTCACTATCTCTAACAACTCTTAATTGTTAAAAAAATATTAACCTTTTCTTTTATTACGGAGTTAGCTGTAGGCTGATGGAAAATAGCGGCTAACGACCCTAATGTTACTTTCCTATTTTAATCATAAAAAGCAAACTGAGTACATGTCAAATTTTGAACAACGATAATTCACTATCTCTAATGACATACTAATTGTTTAAAATATTCACCTTATCTTTAATTACGGAGTTCACTGAAGGCTGATAGAAAATGGCGGCTAATAACCGTCATGCTACTTTCCTGTTCTGAGTACGAAAAATAAATTGAGGACGCATTTTATGCATGTGATAATGTGTTCAAATTATCGGTTGATACATAAGTATATTTAACGTTGGTAATTCCCACAATGCCAATAAGAAATAACAAACGTAACATTTTGTGATAACCCTGTTGCCATAAGCGTTCACAGTTGTGTCAAAATTAACAATTAGTAATAAGAGTAATAAAAAAACTGTTATAAACGAAAGTGATAAGTTATGTGAAATGCAACTATGGGCACAGTTGTATATTTGAACCTAAAATCTGTTTGAACTCACATAAGACCAGCGTGAAATGGAACTGTTAAAGTTTCGCGTTTCGTGTGGTCAGTGGGGACCGGAACCAACTTTTTTAAAGGTTATCATCGCATCTGAAAACCATCGTTTGTATTAGATATCCATAGGCGGTGGCATTCACGTAACATTTGGTGAACCCCCTGCTCGCTTTACAACTTTTAACACGAAAAAAATTCAAATTTCAACTCAACTCACGTTTCAAAAGTAGATTCTATGTACGAGTACTGTACATAGAATTTTGTCTCATCAGTTTTTTAAAAAAAGACCCTTTGAACCACGGTGTAATCTCTCTTAAATTTAATAGCTAGGCTCTTGTCGGAGCAGCATCCCAGTAGTTCGGCTGTGTAAAACGCTCCATCCTTCCCTGATCAAAGCCCTTAATAAGTAATATATGTCTGTGTGTACGCCCTAATGTGTAATTTAGGTAGTGTTAAGTTTTATATAATTTAGGTAGTGTTGTCTGGAATACCTGTCAGTGGCAAGGGGCTGGTAGTACAGGAGCCCTTGCGCTGGTGAGTGCGCAAGACCAACGACTCCGTCCATCAGCGTGAACTTCTCGCCGGAGATGTCGATTTCGCCAAGGTTTGGGTCGGGGTACATGGACGCGTGGGTAACTCGCCACGCGTTGTCGCGACGGCTGTCGTATACGATGATGCCTGGGGAAGTATCGAAATTGCTTCATTAAATTTCGGTTTGTTCAAGCTTGTGTGGAGTGAGGCTTTTGTACAATGTTGGACATCTTCCGGCTGATGACGAAGCTTGTCTAAACGTCAAAATTCATACGCTATTTTTAATGTTAAAATTTGCGTATGAATTTTGGTAGGGCCACGCAACAATTTTCACTGTTGCACGAATGAGCAGGTCCGTCCGAGTAATTACCACGACCTCACAGAAGACCGGCATAACCAGAAGTGTTACATTTCTGCGTTTCGTCTGGTGAGTGAGGTGGCCGGGGCCCACTTTAGTTAAAGGTCGCAACGCATCTGCAACCCTACGGGTGTTGCAAGTGTCCATCCTTCGGTTATTACTTAACATCAGGTGAACCGCCAGCTCTTTGCCACTTTTCACATAAAAAAAATAATTTATGATATACAATCTGCGGTCTGTATATATTTGTATTAAAAATATATTTTTACAGATTGACATCAACATTAAATTAGCAGTACCCAGTACATTATCATATGCCCTTTCAAATCGAATTCATAAAAAAAGATTTGTTAACTTGTTGCTTTTTGAAGGTATTTCTTTAATAACCTAAGTGTATTATGATAAAAAAATAAAATTAGCAATTTTTTTTATTATCATAATACACTTTTTGCAACATGTCGTGTATAGCTTTGTTATATTAAACTGAACCTCCTACAAATGTAAGCTTCATTAAAGGATTACCTACTGTATAAAATTACTTATGTTACTTGCTTTTTTTCATAACGATAAGTCGTTATATAAAAAAAAAAAACAAGCCATATATATAGTAATAATCTAATCATATTTTTCAAAGTCGATAACATACTAAAGTTTAACAGTTAATAATTTTCAAAATAATTCCATTGATCAGGAGAAATTATCCAGATCCAACATTGTTTTAATTTGTTTCGCCCAAATATAATTATTTGTTATCTCTATCAGTAAAACATAGGTATTCATAGATTTAAATAATTCTTATACATCAAAAATCTCGTTTATAGCTGTGGCTTGATATTTTTGAATATGACAGTATTTTAATTTCTCTTGGTGTGTTCGATAGGACGGTTGTATCCAGGTGTAACAAATATTCCGTACTAAGGAGATTGTAAGAGATTTTTATGTAAGCAAGTGACATTTAAAATAAACAAATTACATATCGTCTCGTTTACGCGTTTTAAAGAAAACAACTTTCGCTGGTGATTAAAAAGGACGTTCTCTCGAAATTAATATTTTCGTTCAGGCGATTTTTTGGGTATTGACGCATATTTTCAGGTAGTCAGTAAATTGTAAAACTATCACTCTTTTAAAAACGCGACGGATAGTGCTGGAAAGTAATCACTGTCATAAGCGGTTTTAAAAATATGAAATCACTAGCTGCTGCCCGCGACTACGTCCGCGAAGAATAGGTTGAAGGCGTAACATTCACACAGAAAGACAGATATATATAAAAATATGGATAAAAATTATAGCCTATGTCTTATTCTGATGTATAAGCTATATTATTGTAAAGTTACATTAAAATCCATTCAGGAGTATTTGCGTGATAGAGTAACATACATTCATTCATACATACAAACTTTCGCGTTTATAATACTAGCTGCTGCCCGCGACTACGTTTGCATAGAATAGGCTGAAGATAACATTCAGACAGAAAGATATACATAAAATATGTATATAAATTATAGCCTATGTCTTATTCTGATGTATAAGCTATATTATAGTAAAGTTTCATTAAAATCCATTCAGTAGTATTTGCGTGAAAGAGTAGCAAACATCCACTCATACATACAAACTTTCGCGTTTATAATATTAGTAAGGATTAGTAAGGATTAATATAAAGCACCTCCGAGCAACTATATTTAGTCTGCCTTACACCCCGTCAGAAGCACAGTTAATAAAGTTAGACTGACAAATGATCATTTGAGACATTAAAGCACTGTGCATTTATATCTGGTCCTCGTTATCCTTTTCCCCCGCCCCACAAATACTTTGTGTCTTAAAGTTGTAATTTACAAAGCGGGCATTTTATTCCGATACTTAATTTTAAAATTAAATTAAATGGCATGCCGTATTTAAATGACAGGTTATACGTCTTTATGTATAAGTAAATGTAGTATTAGCTTTGTTATTGATTCTAGTAGATAGCAGATTTTGAGGGGTAACATTCGTTAAAAGAAAATAACATAACATGAAAATGCAATCATTTTATTTGGTAGTATATTTTCATAAAATGGGGAATTTTATGACAAGTTTTTATGAAATCTACCACAAGCCTTGCTTCAAGTTACGGACCTTTTTTTGTTTGGATATTATAATTTCATTTTTTTAAACTTTGCAATAAAAAATAAATAAAAAAAAGGTTTACAAAGGGTGAACTTAATGCCTTTTGGCATTCTTTCCTATTCAACCCGGGGCATGGTGAGAAATCGTGGTAGGTGCAATTTTTACATTAAATTAAATTATATGTCGTTTATTAAAGGACTTATTCGTATACATAGAAAAGCGACAACTTAAATTTCTACGTCATTTGCATTTCGCGCCCGTGCTAAGATATTTATAGATTTAAGTATGCCATAATGCTGAGACATTGCAATTATTTTTAAAGCGGCAAACGCAACAAGGGATTAAACTTGGAAGGGATCTTAAAGGGTGGTTCATCCCCAGAAAAGGCTAAGCGCAAAATTGTTATTCCTAGAAGCACCTGACACATTTGTCATAAAATACAAAAAAAAATCATCCTTAATTTTTTTTATTATAACCCAAAAATAATGTTTACAAGTTTGAGAAGCTAAATATTATTCACTTCTGAAGTGTGTCGTTTTTTTTTTTTAAATCTATTGTAAACCTCGCCGCAGCCCGGGATTTCAACAGACCGAACAACATGAATTTAAAACATGAACGCGGCTTGTTTTTATCGATAAATCTTAGATCACGACTCGAATACGCTTAACAGAGTCTTTTTACGGCTTGAAACAGCAGTCCCAGGAACGCTCGACATTATTACCCAATACTAGCGGCGTGAGACCTGACTGCTACTGCAAAAAGGGCGCCCTACTCGTATACCACGAAACAAACACGTGTATTTTGCACCCGTCAATCTTGGTTAAAACGAGCAATGGAAAACGTAACAATTACTTCTTCATCACCTGAGTACTTATACCGATCACGTGTTTAATTTTGTAGCAAAAATTTATTTCAACGAAGTTATAGTTAAATTTCTTTTAAGTATTCTTTCCTGCTCAATATGTTAGAGGAGGAAAGGACATTTTAATGACGAAATTTTACTATGTTAGAAGGGCTTGTAGCCGCTTCTCAAGTTGCCTGAATGTTTCAGTTTGTCCGAAGAAGTTCCCGGCCTCAGAGGAGACTCGTGAAGTCCAAGTATTACTTTTACTTTACGTCGGAAAAATTAGCAACGCACAAATGTTACCCCCATGATTAATATGATTTCTTGGCTGTAATTAATTAACATAAGATGATTCGTAATGAAACGATAATCGATATTATAACCTTGTCAACCTTTTTTTTTTCTACATTATATACACATAGTTGCATACCAAAGATCATTGACTGTCTGCATAAAGGCAGACAGTCAATTATCTCAGAATTGTTACAGCATATATTTTCTTACGCTCATTAATGGCTAATTGTACTGAAGCGTTTCTTTTTAACTTATATATTTATATACCAGTTCTAAAAACTAAATATTACATTCTAAAAATAATAGATCACACAAGCGTGGTGTTTTTCTCGGTAAGTTTATGTATTAATTTATACTATTCATTGATATGAATAGTATAAATTAATACAACGATACGTTGATACATATTCATGAAACTACACGTTGTTAATCGATTAGAACGGTGCCGGTCCAGTAGGGCGCGACTGTGTCGTTTTTTTTTTCTGTCTATCGCGAAAATTAAGGCATCATTGTTATAGCTGGCTTGAATTCACTTCACAAACATACGTAATTAGTTATAATTAACAGATACATGCCCAAACTTGCAACTACTACATATCTACCAACGTCGACGTTGTTGCCTATAAGTTGCGAACCTCCAAGATTAATGTTAAAACATCCAAATAAAATTAATGAAAAAATATATATCGTAAATTTTTTTTCCTTTTTATTTCCTTTATATATTTATTATAGTAATGTTTTTTTATATGCGTGGATCTGGACCCTTAATAGTTCGGTATTCAGATGCTCGTTTCAGATTATTGTAAGGAAATTATTTTAATGAATTTTAATGCAGATCCCCGATGAAATTTGTAGTTGCATTGTAATTAACGTGAAAATTAGTTTTTTGGTTTATTATTCTATACTTATTACGTAATTTAGGTCTCCAAAAAGACAGATAATATTGGTAAAATAAATGCAATAATCGTGAGTGACAGTGATGACAGAATTTAAACACCACATTCATCACATCACAACATTATTTATTACAGACCGTGACCTTAGTATTAAAACGTCATTAAAACAATTGGGTGTTTAACGAGACTTACAATACGACATATGGCACTCGAATTTAATAATAAGTTAATGTAATGACATTAGTAGGTAAATTTTAATGCCATCTCATCATATCATAAGCGATCCGCTCACCCTGAAGGAAAAGTCCTTTGGAAGTGAGCGGATTGATTTGCAGAGTGCATTCCGCAACAAAGTCTTATTTTTCCTGCTGCCATCCCACATTTGTGAGGGCAATTTGAATCACATCATTTGAAACATGATATTAATGGTATTGGCTAGGTATCTTTTACAACCGACCACCTGTTTAATGTGACCATCTTCAGTGTGACAAGAACCCAGATCCGAATCAATTATCTGTGTGACCCATACACAACTCCTGGCACCGTAAGCAATGGTATAGCAACTGTGTCACCGAGTTGTTCATCCAACAAAGTGTAAAGGTAAAATGCCTGCAAGATTCGAGTCTTTGCTCTGGATTACTCGCGTCCACATGCTCTAGCCATTTAGCTTTAGTAATTCAGTGACTTAGATATATCCTATACTTTTAAATTAAAATGAAATAACATAATTGTGGTATGTTCATTTTATTTCTTAATATAAGGCCATACTGCGGTTGCAAAAGAAAAGATTTTAATCGACGCTCCATCTAATCTGACATTGCTTCACGTATAACCTTCGGGAATGAATACATAGATGTCTTTAAATAGACTACTATTTAAAACCGCCAAAAGTTACCTAAGTGCATTTACATTTATAACATAGCGTTACCCAGTTTATTACAACGACATATTTACGAGCATTTGTAAATCACGTTGCGTTTAGGTTATCAAATAAACAGGTGAAATGGGTAACGCACGGCTGCCTTCATAATGCGTTAAATGAATTAGCGAAAATGCTAATACGACGGGTTTTTAAATTCACATTGCACGTCATGCAATCCTGTTCAATCAATCAGGAATATCATCAAATGATGATATTGCTGATTATTTACCAGCTTTTATTATATCCGCTAAGTAAAAAATGGTCAAAATATTTTTCACGTAAATATGTAGTGAAGAATTTATTTACTTTGTGACACATGGGAGCGTTAAAAAGGAACATGAAAGTAGGATTTGAAAATTCGAAAGTTTTCTCTAGACACAGATTATTTCATTCTTCAGTTATTTAATAAATGCCGATTATAATTAAAAAATAATCAAGATGCCTGTACATGGAAGATATTTGAGAAAAATATTATTGGGGGCCTTTATCAATGCAGTAGAACCCAAATTTGTTAAATATTTTGTCTGTTTTTCTCTGTTTGTGTGTTTGTGCAAGCTAATTTCAGAAACGTCTTAACCGATTTGGGTGGAACTTTCTAACTATATATTATGGTCATAATATGGTATAAATCAATGCTACTTCTCTGTAATAGTGTTATTATTTCTTTGAAGCAGAAACTTTATTAAAGGTAAGGTAACAGTGGCCAATGCATTAAACATTAACGTGCTACTATTCGTTACATGTTACATGTTTGAGAAACTGGTACAAAATATTTGAGCAATGTGCTAGACCGACAATTTATTGGTTTTATGGACGTCACGCGTGGTCTCTCGTGTTTTTCTCAAATCCATATTAGGATGCATTTTCAAGGGAAACGAAACAACTTTTAATTTGGTCTATTTTATCACTTCGTCAATTAGTTTATATACCTTATACACTGTTAGAATATATTGCAACAAATTCAATGCGATAATGAATCATGTCAACCTTAAGGATTGAGTCAGTTATATCTATCTATCGCTCGTTGAGAGTTCTTGCACATTTCGGTTATAATTTAAATAGGTCGGATATGACTCATCTCTAAAATCATCATAGTTCGGTGTACCCATGTATTGATACACGGCTAGCTTCACTGGGAAGAAATCTTATGAATCCTCCTTCTTAATAATAAAATTAATAAGCATAATATAGTTAAGGACAGATAAGATAGCGTATTGCTCATTAATAAGATTATTCGATTAAACTTCATTTTATAAATATATTATATACATCAATAATTTTATTTGAAATTAATTATTTGATATACAAATAATGCTATTGGGACTACGGAGAGGCTAATCTTATTCGTATGTAAACGTTCTAGAACACTTGTCTTAATGGGTATTAATTTTAGAGCAGTCTCGTTAAATTGATAATGTTTATCTACTGACTTACACTCTGCGCTAATTAAGTACATTATATAATTAGCGCATTATAAAAGCCTGATGTCGTAGTAGTCGTTAAGAGGCCACTACAAAAAAAAACCGACCAAGTGCGAGTCGGGCACAAACCGTACCATTATCTATGAAAACGGCAAAAAATCATGTCATTGGATCCTACTTAAATATTCGTATTTAAATATTTTAATAATCCTCCTTAAATATTTTTTATCCTGTTTTTTTAAATATTTGTTGTTATAGCGGCAACAGAAATACATCATCTGTGAAAATTTGAACTGTCTAACTATCACGGTTCATGAGATACAGCCACAGGGTACGGGACCCTAAAAAGTGTCTCAAAATGGTTCTTTTTTTAATTTAAAACAAAGTCATGAATAATTCATACTCGAAACGATTATTCAATATAGTAGCATCATTAAACTTATTGATAGTCAAAATTCTACTACTACCGGTAATAAACATATTATAAGAAATTAAAAACAGTTTGTATGCAATTTGTCGTAGGTACAATTAATGTCACCGGCACGTCATCGAAGTCTAAACAGACATTAAGTCTCAACGTCATGAATGTCAGGATGACAATATTACGGCAAGGATTTCTAGAGGTTTTACGACATAATGAATTCTGTGAAGCAACTGCATACTTCAAGTCTACGCATGTGTCAACACGACACACAAGTGTTAAGTTTTAGTATCGATCGACATATGAACACGATTCCTTTCGTAACGATTCGAAGGTTTGTTTTGTTTAAAGGTATAGTAGGACCGTAAGTTAGGACACATTTATCGATTTTAGTCCGTGGATTTCTTCAGTGATTTTATGTGATCCATCTGTATGTTTGCTCGCTTAATTTCCGGTTTATCAAACCACCCACTACTATAATTGCGTTAGTAATTTTAATTATCATCCTAGAAAAGAGAAAATGTAGATGATACAAACAAAAAATATGAACCATGTTGAAGGGTTTTGGCTAGGCGTTTAACGTTAGGCGTTAAGCTTGGCTGACGTCAACCTATCAGAGAAAAAAAGCCAGATGCGAAACAATAACCTTCAGGTGAAACAAATATTCATCCCGTGTGGGGTGGGAATCTACAACCCCCGGCGCCGTAGCCAACAACTTATCAACTGCGCCAGCGGGTCATTAATTGTAGTAAGTTAAATATACAAAAAATACCTGGAGTGACGGTGTCGCTGATGTAGGCGAAGATGTTGTCACACGTAGCTGACAGATGAGGGTTCGGTGACCTCGTATCGTCCAGTATCAAATTGGTGAGCAGGGAGCTGGGTCGGAGCAGTTCACGGGGGAAGTACACGCTTCTTACCTGATGAAAGAAATAATACTTGCTCATAAGAGGAATTACCTATTGTCTTTAAAAGAACGAATTATGCACTTATGTACGCACACGTATTAAATAAAAGTTAAAATTTTCTCCCCTGTGGCGTTAGGTACTTTTTGCTTGTGAAAAAGACATTAAATATATTTGATGAAGGTTTAGTTAGCTTGGAATTATACTATATATCAAAAAGTTTTTATTGACTGCCATGGTAATACCGCGAAGTTGGTCGCTTTGCAACCAATCATGACAGTATCGGTGTGCACGCGCATCGTAAAAATTTTACCCTCATTTTTTTCCCAACGTGCAGAAAACTTCAAAAATTTGGTGTTTTTATACAAATCGCTGCAATTTACGCAACTGTTATCTGTCGAAACTCGCCATCCAAAAAGTAGCATACGATTTTATGCCTTTCTTTATGAAACCGTGACAGCTCAGTGTCCGGGCGCTCGCCTTTAATTCAATATACTCGAGCAACCTGAGTTCGATCCCCGGTGCCGGCACCAATGAAATTATTAATTTCAAGTGCTGAATTATCACGTTCTCTGCGGTGAAGGAAAACCTCGTGAGGAAATATTGTCGAATAATATATTTCGAAGATATGTAAAGTCCGCCATTCCCCAGTGGGGCCGCGTGCTGGACTATGCCCTTATACCCCTCTGTGGGACATGTATAGGCTGTTACTTTACTTTTTTTTATGAAGCCGAGAAAACCGTGGTTAATATAAAAAAAAGGACAAATGCGAGTCGGATGCGCGCATAAAGGGTTCCGTACCATTATCTATAAAAACGGCCAAAAAAAAAAGTCTGTGGTATCATGTGGGAGGCCTACTTAAATATTCTTTTATTCTGTTTTACATTATTTGTTGTTATAGCAGTAACAGAAAAACATCTGTGAAAATTTCAACTGTTCTAGTGATAGACGGACAGACAGACAGACAGCGGAGTCTCAGTAATAGGGTCCACTTTTATCCTTTGGGTACGGAACCAAAAAATAGATTTGGTTGCAATACGTTATATACGTACACCAGTGCGTGCTTGAAAAATGCACCGAATTTTTATCACGCCGGTATTTGTATTTCAAAAAATAATTTTTAATCGATACTTATGTCTTTCGATAACTTTGAAATTATTTTATTCTAATTCAAAAACATTATTTGTTATGAAATGCAGCGATACATGGATAGACACATAGGGGCACTTGGCAAAAGCAGCATGGTCTTGCTACGTGTGTTTTATTGCAGAACTACAAAGACTGCTCCTGCGGTAGCTGGGCATTTTTTCAGTATCTGGGACACCTGTCACTATTATCATAATTTTTAAAGAGGAAGGGGCTTTCTTCGTTTTACCTGAAAATTTTGGAAGGGATTCAATTTTTCTCTTTCTTGATATGCAGTGCGCAATCTACTTCCTTGCAACAGCCAATCGAGATTGTAAGTTGGACATAGTGTTATGTACTCTTAAGCTGTTTTCATACAAAAATTTTTTTGCACTATCGCCCTATCTCATAAGTTTTAACCCCTTTTTCTCAAATCTAAAGAGCAGATTTTGTCCTCTTCGAAATCGTCTTCGATTTTCGGATTTCAAGATTTTCCAATAAGCTCTGTCACATGTTTATTGTGAAGTAATTGATACACTTTTGTTTTTACATTAACCGTTTATATACCAAAAGGAATTTAAAACATAGATTCTTCTGCCAACTAAGCTTACACAATATGACTCCCACGATATTGAATACAAGTTTTACTAAATGCGGTAATAAAGTATTCACACTTTTGCATTTCTTTTGCTGTGTGATGTAACTAGGGCATACTCTTTTGAGGTTGAAAATGCAATACAACCTCTATTAAATAATCAACTAGCATCAGATAAACCACAAGCCCGTTTTGTCACCTCGTCACCTTCTTTCATACAAATATTATATTTAATTTTACTTGTGTTTATTATGTTAAAGATAAATTCTTTATTTAAGAACGGGTTAAAATTATACAACTTGCTCGTTTGGTTTTTTAAATATGTAATCATTAATCAAACAGAGGCTTTAACAAATAGCTCACTTGTTTCGCTCATAGGTGACCATGTATCATGTTGACTTCATTAATAATGCTTTCAAATCTCGTTTTATATTACACAACTGCATTAAACCTTTAATTTGAAACAACATTAATCTATATAAATGTAGCACTTGATTTAATTTTAGCGAGTCATTGAGCGAATGAAAACATAAAGATTTGATTTTCGGTCGTTAAAGTTAGTAATAAAACAATAAATAAGTATAAAATTTATAAATAAAAATACATTAAACAAGAATAAATACAAAATAAGTTAAATAATAATATATGATGTCGTTTATATTAAATATAAAAACTGATTAGGTATTTTTTTATAAATTGAGCTTATTTGTTCCTCTTACATTATTCCACTTATGGATGTAGGTGGCTCAGGATCGATTTGCAGCGATCATGAAGATAAATTTATTCCTCTTATCTGGGACCTTAAAATTACGACAAACACAGCAAATAGGTATACATACATTCATATAATAAAATGTATTTAAAAATCGAACAGTCGCCATTCTGACAGCATTCCTTATGTACGTACAAACATAAAATTCTGATGACGGTATAACAAGAATAAATTTGAAATTGGAACAACCGCCGTGACGCGATTCTATGATAATCGAGCGGTTCAATGCCTGAGCTGTTGCAAAAGCGACATGCCGCACCCTTTACAGTGTTATATTCTTATAAAAGATTGACCTCGGTCCTTTAGCCATGAGGCCTTTATATGCCCCTTTATATAAGGCATCGTAGAATCAAAAAGAAACTTCTAAATGATTTTTTCTATTGTCTTTTTAAATAAAACGTGGAATATTATTTTTATCTTGGAGTTTTAAGTTAACGTCTTTAATATAATGTAAATAATCATACATACAATACCTGCACAGCTGTGTAAATATCCTGTTGCAAAAAAATTCATTATTGACACATGGAAAATAAGACGTCGAGATTATAGCAAGGAAAATATGAATAAATTTAAATCATACATTGAATCACTTACATTTTCTGAGTTGTATACAGCAAATGAACCTAATGATGCCTACAATAAATTTATAGAAACTTTTAAATTAATTTATGATTTGTGTTTTCCCATTAACACAATTACTATCCAATTAAATAAACGGGTTAAATGGCTGACTAAAAGCATCAAGTTATGTTCTAAAACACAGAGAAAAATGCTATGGAGATACAGGCTAAATCCCAATGAACAAACAAGACTGCTTCTAAAAACATACACTCATAGACTTAAAAAGGTTATTAAGCTTACACAAAAAGCTAGAAATAATTATAGAATTAAATTATCAAATAACAAATGTAAAACTATTTGGCAAATTATTAATGGAAATAAGAGTTATCACCCTCAAGAATACATTGAAAAAAATAAACTTTGGTGATGATAATGCTATCATCAATAATCCGAAAGACATTGCCGATGCATTTAATAATTATTATACTGACCAAGTATTGGCATCTCAAGTTTTAAGAAATAATAAAAATATCACATTAGAAGCATCTGCGCATTCATTTTTTATGCCACCAATCATTTCTCTAGATGTTTCAAATGCTATAAAGTCACTAAAAAACACAAATAGCGTTGGATACGATGGGACTTTCTACACGTGTCATTAAGTTAGTTAACAAGAGTGTTTCTCCACATTTAAGTTACATATTTAACTTATGTGTACAAGTTGGTGTTTACCCAGAGGGTCTTAAAACAACTGTTATTAAACCACTTTATAAAAAAAAGGGTTCGAAAGATGATATAAGCAGCTATAGACCCATTGCCCTTACACCAGTTATTTCGAAGATTTTTGAAAAGATTATGCATAAATACCTGAGTAATTATCTCGAAAAATTTAATCTATTAGTGGATGAACAGAAGGGATTCAGGAAAAATAAATCAATTAATAGAGCAATATATGATTTATTAAATTTAATAATCAAAAACATTGATAGTAAAATAGATATCTGCGCTCTGTTTTTAGACATGAGTAAAGCTTTTGACTATGTAGACCACCAAATATTATTGCATAAAGTTGAATATTACGGAATAAGAGGTAATATTTTAAATCTGATTCGGACATACCTGACCAATAGACAACAAGTAACACAAATAACTCGACACGACATAAAAATGAGAGAAGAAAAAATTTACACATCTAATTCTCGATATGTTCGGTATGGCGTTCCACAGGGAAGTGTGTTAGGACCATTGTTATTTCTTATTTACATAAATGACTTACCTAAATGTGTTTCACACCCCATGGTTTTATTTGCCGATGATAGCACAGCTATCATTAAAAGTGTTAAACATGATCTAGAAGACGAATTAAATTTAACACTAACACAAATCATTGAGGAATTGCAAAAGAATAATTTACAAGTTAATTTGGATAAAACTAAATTTATAAAGTTCTATCAAAGATGTGCAAATGATTTAAATTTAAAAGTAATACACAGAGGAAACCAAATTGAAAAAGTTGACTACACAAAGTTTTTAGGCTTGACAATCGACACTAGATTAACATGGACTTATCAATCGGACATAGTGTGTAACAAAATAAGTAAAGCGGCATATATTCTATGGAAATTGTCTAGCACCTTAAACATTGAATCACTGTTAACTGCATATTATGCCTATGTAGAATCGCATCTTAGATATGGCATCATATTCTGGGGAAATTGCAGCAAGAAAGAAAATATATTCAGGTCACAAAAAAAAATGCGTTAGAGCGATGTGTAAATTAAAAACGAGAGAAAGCTGTAAATCTTCTTTTATACAATATAAAATATTAACCATGCCGTCGTTATACATATTTGAGAGTGCGATGTTTGTGAAAAATAACTTGTCTCTTTTCTCCAAGCCCAACCATGAGCGAAGCAGACGTGACTTACACAAACTTTGTTTACCTAAAACTAATACTAAACT